GTCCTGGGTTTGATTCCAGTCAAGGGCATGTACCCTTGTTGCAGGCTTGATCCCTGGCCTGGGTCAGGACATGTGCAGGAGGCAACCAATTGATGTGTCTCTCTCATATCGATGTTTCTCTCTCTGTCTCTCCCCCTCCCATCCACTCTCCTAAAAATCAATGGGAAAATATCCTTAGGTGAAGATTAACAAAGGAACAGCTTTGAACCCTGCTCTGCCATCACCTAAACCCAGGCCACCATCAGCTCTCACCTGCAAACCAGTAGTCCCCATTTTTAGGACTCCTATAGTCCAGCTTGCCCAACCCCCCTCGCCAATCCTTTATACATTATCCCTAGCAAACCTTTAAAAATGTAAATCTGGTCCCACCAGCTCAGTGGCTGAGTGGCAACTTATGAACCAGGAGATCACGGTTCGATCCCTGGTCAGGGCACATGCCTGGGTTGTGGGCTCGATCCCTAGGAGGGGGCTTGCAGGAGGCAGCAGATCGATATTTCTCTCTCTCCCTCTCCCTTCCCCTCTCTAAAATCAATAAAAACATATTTTTAAAAAATGTAAATCTGAATGTGCCAGACCTTTTAGGATCCCCACTGGGTTAGGATAAAATCACAAAGCCTCCTAGTGTCCTATAAGGTCAGGCAGGGTCACTCTAGCATTATCTGAAACTTCCCTTCCTCTCTGTGCCCTAAGCCCACCAGATTTTTCTTTCTCAGAACTCACCAAGTTCTTTTTGCTCATTAGCTTTTAGCGGGCTGTTCCCTCTGCCTACAACAGTACCAGTGCCAGTGCCCCGCCCACCATCACCTAACTCCCCACCGCTCAGGGTGGCTCCCTCCACCACGTGTCCTGCCTCCCCTGTGCATCTCCTTTGGGGACCTCTGCTGAGTCCCTCACTACTAGCACACAGTAGGTATTCTATACATATTTGTTCAATGACTAGCAATAGGACCCCTTCTGTCTCCTCAGTTTCTGAGGGTGAGAGTGAGGTGAATGAGCCCTTTTCTGCCCAGGACTGATGGCTTTAAAGAGCCCTGACATTCCCCGGAGGCTGAGGAGCCCTCCTTCTGGGATGCAGCTGACCAATGGGGTCTGAGGGTTCCCAGGTTGTGCAGAGACCACCCTGGCCACTCTGACAAGGTGTGCTGCTGCCAGGCCAGGGCAAGACTAATTTATAAGGAGACCCTGGGTGTTCTCCTGGGTCTGGAGCTCTGCCCCCCCCCCCTTCTGTTTTTCTTTTCTCTTTTGGGGGGGAGGGTGGGATGGGTTCTGGAGTTTTGAGTATGAATTCACATCAGTCCCCTCTGTAACTGTGGAGTAAAGGCTGGCAAACTGTAGTGGGCAGCAGGTTCCAGAGCCCCGGGTTCCAACTCTGGCTCCATCATCACCTGCCAGTTGCACGGACTAGGAAGGAACTTAACTGCCACCAATCTCCGTTTCTTCAGCTGCAAAACTGGACTGATAATAGCACCCGCTTCCCAGAGTTGTGGGACTCAGCAGGCTACCATCCCTTCCAAGCACCCTGCATAAAGCATTGTGGGTATTGTTGTTATCAGCATACGGATCGTTCCCACGGTGAGGACCCGGCTAGCAGTGCGCCCTCTCTAAAAGCCCTCACTTTAAGTGTTACTCCCCAGAAGTCATATTTCTTCCACTTTTGTAATAAACTTCCAGAGGTTCACATAGTTCATTTTTAAGTTACCAATGGATATTCAATGATTGATCGAAGGGAGGGCACCATACTGGGCTCTGGGGACACAAAGATCAGTAGGACCCATTTCCTGTCTGAGTGAGAACAGACACACCGATAATGACAATTCAGTGAGGGCATGTGTTCAGGCAGCCCACAGACTGTGAGGAAAGAGGATTGTAGGGCAGGGGTGCTTAGGGTCTTGGGGAACCCTGGGGTGGATGGAGGGCAGGAGGTATGGAAAGGATGGCCACACACTCCCCTCCTGGGCGTGAATTCCCTGGGAAAGCGAGGCTGAGCTCTGCGGAACACAAACTGGGTATGTATCCCCCGTAGCCTGAGAACCGTCTCCTGGCAGAGATGGGGTGGAGAGCGCCTCCGAGCCAGACACAGCCCCTGCCCTCCTGGACGGGTGGGATGTCCAGTGGAAGAGACAGGACAGCAATGCTAGATTCCACGCCCCTCTTCCTCCCCTGCTCCACCCCCCAGCCCCTCTGAGAGCTGAGGTACCTAGGAGCCTGCGGGAGGTGTCTTGGGAATCAAGCCTGGGTCCCTACAGTCTGCGATTCTTAGGGGGGGGGGGGTGGTCACTGGAGCCCGCACCTTCAGCCTGGGGGTCAGGGCTGCGTCCCCTCCCTTAAGCTTCAGCAGAGCCTTTTAAGGGGTGACCCTCTGACCTCCAGACTGTTCCCCCTCACCCTCCAGCTAGAAGCCCTTGGGGCAGGAGTTTAGGAAGGAGGGCTCCGGAGGCCTCAGTGTAGATGCAGAGAGGAGGCCAGGGTTGGCTGGGCCTTGAAAGACTCTAGAGCCCCCTGGGCCCGTGAGGAAGGCTCAGTCAAGGCCAGGAGCCTTGTCAGGTCCATGGGAGCGCAGGGCAGAGATGCGGGTGCCTAGCCAGGAGGAGGGAGGGGGGTGGGCAAAGGGTTCAGCGGAGGGAGCAGGCGGGGCACTGAGAGTCTAGGACACAGGGTGGGGGTGGGAGGGCGAGGGGTCCGGCCAGCGCAAGGGGGGGCGCCCCGGGGAGGGGCACGCTATGTCTTTAAGAGCTGCCTGAGCGCAGGTTGCAGCTGCCTGGCCAGCCCGAGAGACAGCGGAGATTCATTACCCGCCGACACAATGACCATTGATGGCCCCGTGGCGTTATTCAAATCCAGTACCAATTGCAGCCGAGCCCCTTTCTCCGCGCCAGGCCGTATTGTTGGAGCGGCCCACTAAAAGCCCGCCCCGGCCCCGAGCCGCCAGAGGCGCCCGCTCGGGCTCAGCCCTGCGCCTCGCCAGCCCGCCGGCTCCCGGCCCGGCTCACCGGGCAAGACAGGTGACCCGGCGGCGCATTCCAGCGCTCCCTGCCGCCCCGGCCACCGCCACCGCCACCGGCGCCCCGGCCGCGACTCAGCCACAGGGAAGCGGAGAGCACCCAAGCCGGTGCGTGCGCGGGGATGGCGGGGGCGGGGGACCCACGAGTCCAGCAGTCCGACCCCGGCTCGGAAACGCCACCCGGCCTCGGCCCCCGCTCCCGCTCTCCGGATTCCTGGCGATCCCGGGAAGCCCAGGCTGGGGGCGGGGAGAGGGGAGTCGGGGTTCCCCGGGCCTGACGGAGGAGATTCCCCCAACCTGGGGCAGCGCCGAGACCCAACAAGGGCCACTCTAGGGACCCCGGGCCGCGATCGAAGGAGACACACGCCCGGGGCGAAGGGGATTCCCCACGCAGGGCCGGGATCCGCGTGTCTGCTGTCCACCTTACCGCGGCATGGGCCGAGACCGCCGGCGTCTGCGAGGTGGCCGGATGCGCAGCGCGACCTCCTGGTCTGTTCCTTGTTAAGGAGCGAAGCGGAGCCCCGCCGGAGACGCGGGCCCTGAACTCAGGGGCTTCGCCACTGATTGTCCAAACGCAATTCTTGTACGAGTCTGCGGCCAACCGAGAATTGTGGCTGGACATCTGTGGCTGAGCTCCGGGCGCAACAGGGGCGGGGGCTGCAGGGACCGAGCTCGTGAGGGCGAGACCCTCGCTCGAGCGGCGGCTGGCTGGCCCCAGCGCCGGGATCGCAGCCACCCCGCCGCCAAGGAGGGATGCCGGTCCCTGCCGCCAGCGCCGCCATCCTCATCCTTGTCGTCCTCCTTCTCCTCTGCGGGTGACCAGTCCTGGCTGAGGGGGTCCTCCAACCGATCGCGTCGTTTCCCCTTTTTCAAATTCCGGCCGGAATGAAGCTGGCACGCGGCAGTGGGACGAATGTGGTCCCGGGAGCCCGCTGTTGGCGGGCCGGCCGCAGGAAGTCGGAGCGAAAGAAGATGCTGATGCCGGCAGAATGCGCTAACTCGTTTTGAACTGGTTCTCACCTACCCCCCACCAATACCCCAATACAAAAAAGTCTCAACCGATCCCTAAATCCCCAATAAACCGACCCCTCCCGCCAGGCCCTCCAGAGGGACCGGTGGGCTGAGCTCCTCCAGCCGCTGCGGAGTGAAGTGTGGGGAGTGATGCGTCCCAGCCCGGCAATTGCCTGGGCTTTGGAAACGGAACTTGGGTAAACGAATCCTTTTCATTAAAGACAAATCTTCGGAGATAGTGGGGCTTATTCGTTTATTTCCTCACAAGTGGGAGTCAAGAGACGCCTGGGGAAAGGGGCAGTTGGGCACGGCTGGGGCTGAGGTCAGGTAACCTGACCCCTCAGAGGCAGGGCTGAAAATGACCCAAAATGCTGTGGACCCTGGCTCGGAGCTGGCATTCCCTCCCTGCCTCCCTCCGAGGGGTCCTTCTGCCTTACTCCTCTTCCTCACCACTCATTGGGGTGCAGTGGAGGAAGGGATATCCCATATCGACCCCCCTCAGCCAATAAAGGTGAGAGGAATCCTCACCCAGCTTCCAGGACTTGGAATCTTGGGTGGGACAACGGCCACTCCAGTGGGGCTGGAGGCAGGAAAGACATCCAGGTTACAGGGGTCAGGGGTCAGGCTAATCCCCTAAAGTTGAGGCTGTGGGGGGCCATTTCAAGTCCCTTGCCCTGTTCCCTACCATGGAGACCCTGACATCAGCACCTAGTGTGGGCTGTCGAACAGCCTCTCTAGACAGCACTTTGGACCCCAACACTGGCCTTCATGTGCACCCAGACCAGCTCCTACCAATAACCCCAATATGGCTGCCTCCACCCACACAGGTCCAGAGGCCCCCCCACCTGCAGAGTGGAGGGGGGCGTGGGTCCCTTATGCCTTGAGAATGATGCAAGCACATCCCCCACAATTCCAGCACACTACTGGGACAACCCAATTGGCATTTCATCCCCATAGAGTGAAAGAAAGTTCACCATAAATCACTGCATTTAATGTTTTGGGCAGGATGATGTTACTGCTCTAATATTTATTTATTTATTTAAGATCTCCCTCCAGCAACCAAAGCTTTTCTCCAGGTCTTGTGAAGGAGGGGCTCAGCAGTCTTATCTATGCCACCCCCCATTCTGGGTTCTGGGGCTGCTGGCTGCAGCTGGTGGGACAAAGCCTGTCCTCAGACAGACATGTGAGGAAGCGTGTTTCCTGGGGCCCAGACTGGTCAGCACAGACTGGCTCTGCCACCCCTTCTCCAGATGGCCTGTCAGGTCGCCCCCTGCAAGACAGGCTGGGTAGTCTGGGTTTTAACCCCTGCCCCCTTTTCGGGTGAAGGGCAGCTCTGAAAGCCCTGGGTGGGGGCAGAGAGGTTGGACCAGAGACTATGGCTGAGTGGTTGTGGGGTGCCATTGGTTTCTACGGATAAAGCTCCAGGCAAGGCTAGTAAACAACTTAGTCTTTTATTTGCCCAAGGCCAGCTGTTGCAGGCACCGAGGCCCCAAGACTTCCAGAGGGATGGAGGGAGGAGGGGTGAGCCACCCTGCCTACCAGGTGCTGCCTGCCCCCATCCTGCTTCTTGCAGGCGGTGGGAAGGGAGATAAAGTCTACATTTGTGGCATCAGTATCAGCCCTGTTTTCTGATACTGTAATTATTCAGTTGTTGTTGAGGAGGAAACTGAGGCACGCTGACCCTTTCAGGCCTCTATTTGCTAGTCCAAGGTTAAGCCTACTCCCTCCTCCCCAGAATGAGCTGCAGGCAGCCTTTTGCTGGGGGAGGGTCTCAGGAACCCATCTGGTGGCCTGTGAGGAGGGGGGGGAAGGCCAGCCAGGGTCAAGGGCTGTGGATGGGGGGGAGCAGAAGGAGGGGTGTGGTTGGAAGAGCAGCTGCTGGGTGGGGGGGAGGAGGGTTAGTTCTGAATAGGGGACCCCAGCTGGGGTCCCATAATGATATCGGTGGGGGACAGGCAGAGCCCTCTGCTGTCCAGATGGGGAAACTGAGGCGGGGACTCCTTCAATGTTTGAGAAGGGAGGGGCCTCTCATCAGCTATTCAAGGCCATTCATCTTCCCCATGAAGACACTGTGACCTGGAGCTGGAGTGCCTTGTCAGTGGTCACTCAGTGTTTAGACTGAGACATAGGAGTGGAAGGCAGCTGGGTCACCTGGCCCCAGAGCCCCTCTCTACTCTTGTCAAACCAGAGGGGCACCCTCCCCCACCTCAGCTGCTGGGAGAGGGAGTGCTGGGCTCAGGCACCTGCCTGCCTGCCTGCCCCTGCTCACGTGCCTGCCTGCGAAAGGCTCATTTTAGCACCTGGCCTCTTTTCCCTGCATGGAGGAAACCCAGGGGACAGATCAGGGAAGAAAGCAACGAAGAGGGACAGGGAGATCTGGAAGCAGGGTCCAAGGGCATGTCTGATTGTTCTCTTCTCCCCACTCCGGGGCCCAGGCAGAGAGAGGGGTCCTTAGCCACCATGCAGAGTGGATATGAAGAGGACGCTGTCCTGGTCCTGAAGCTGGTAGTCCAGCTCACCCTGGTCCAGGAGAGAAATGAGGAGACCATCAGGGCCACTTTCCCAGTTTCTCCCCAGGTGTCGGGAGGGCCAGGGGGAGGGGATGTGTGTGCACCTGGTTGTTTTGGGAAAGACAGAATGTACCAGAAAACCAGGTACCCTGTACTTTAACTTGCAAATGTCCAGGATGGAGGACAGCTCACCACTTCCCCCAGCTACCCTTTTCTTCCTCTCTCTGGGTGGGAGACTGGAGTAGCCTCAGTTTGGAGGCCAGAATGGGACAGAGGATTCTTCAATCACCCTATTTGGGCCTCACGAAAGGCCCTCGGCTTGCCCACTAAAGCAGTGAGGGGAAGGGGTGGGGGAGGGATGTCCCCGAGGTACTGACCAGCAGTTCCCAATCTGCATCGTTAATCAGCACCAGAATCCCTGGCCGCCTGTGGGAAAGATGGTGGTGAATAGCAGGGAGGGAAGGTCAAGGGGCAGTCAGTAGCAAGGACAGAGAGGCTTAGACGCTGGGGCTGAGAGTGTGGTGGGAGCCTTTCCTCCTGATGTCCTGTTAAACATCTCCCAGGAAGTAGAGGTGACAGTCTGAATCTAATGGAAACAGGGTCAGATGGTCACAGCCTTGGGGCCACGTGGAAATCCCAGCACCACCGCCCAGGTCTCAGCAGGTCATTGTTTCTCGGAGTGTCCGTTTCCTCTGCTGAACGTCGGGCAAATTACAGTGCCTCCCCAACGAGGCCTGTGCGAGGATGGACGGGGATGATGTGTGAGGTGCTTCTCGCCTGCGTCTGTGGTGGTGCCCACTGGCAGCTGCATGTTTTTCCAAGGGTCTGTCTCAGTCTTCCAAGCCAGGGAGGCAAACAGTGCTCCGAGCACCCGAAAGCCTACAGCAGCCCTGCCTGGTGTAAGGCAGGGTAGGCTGATGCTTGAACAGGTACCTTGCCTGGCTCCTGCTGGCAGTGGCCCAAGGAGTACTGCTGGCCTTGGGGGTGGCCTCCATGACTCCCGGCCCATGATCTGAGCAAGGGGCCGGATGCCCCAGGACCTGCTGGTGACCTCTGCTTCAGGGCAGATGAACGAGTCCCATAAGTACCCTGCCCACCGCTTCTACCCCTGAGGCTGGCCTGTTGCAGAAGTGACTTCTGTGCACTTGGAACCTGGCTCCTTGCCTAGGAGGCTGAGCTGGGCCTGGCACAGGTAGAAGGGCTGTGGGCTGAGAGCAGGGGTGTCTTCAGTGGGCACAAATGTGTGTGTGTGTGTGTGTGTGCACGCGCGCACATGCACTGAGTGACCCCCTAGAATCCTAGACCTCTGCCGTCCAATATGGTACCTATTAGCCACGTTCAAATTTAAATTACCATGAAATAAATGAATATTTAGTTCCTCAGTCACACTAGCCACATTTCCAGGGCTCAATAGGCTCACGTGCCCAGCAGCTACCACACTGGACAGCACAGATACAGAACACGTCCACCATCACAGAAAGTTCTAGACTGTCAAGGAAGGAAAGGGACCCTGGGCAGCTTCTTTTCCTCAGTACTTTTGAACAGAGAGCGTAGCCAAGGCCTAGAGCAGTGAAGTAACTTGCCTAAGATTCCACAGCAAGTTTGTGGCAACCAGAAGGAGGTCTGTGGTGACCGGGAGAAGTTGACCAGTCTCCAGACCTGGGTGTTAAAAAGTCCCCAATGATCGTGTGGTAACCATGCAGGCTCTTTCCTCAGAGGGTCAGGGGATGGCAAAGGAGACAACAGGAATGGAGAAGGCGGTGGCTGGACACGCAGCGAGGGGCTCAGACCTCCTTCCCTCTGCCCACCCTCCTCAGGGAAGGGAGAAAGGGACTCACACACTGTCTCCCTGGATGAACAGCTCTGGCCGCTCTTTTAGCAAATTCTTCTTGATCCAGACAAGGAGGTTCCGGATGTCCCCTGGAGAGGAAGGCACAGAACAAACTACTGTCAAACCCAAATGATTCCTGCTGCCCAGTGCCTTGCCTGCACCAGAAGGAAGGGAACACGGGCTTTTTTAGAGCAGGCTGTCATGCCCCTGAACTCGTGGATTCCCAAGGGGAGGAAGTGGGTGAGCAGAGGCAGTGACCTGCCTGGAAGTCTGCAGAGAAAGGGTCACCTCGCTTACTGAAGGCTTGAAGAGGCAAGGGGGACTCAGGGCAGGCAGCAGGAGGAACTGTCACAGCTGCAGGGTTGGGAGACAGGCCCCCATCCACGAGTCCTGGAAACTGGTCTGAAGCTGCCACAGACTGGCTTCTGCAAGGGCCCTGAAGCGCCCCCTCCACCTTCCTCTGCCCAGCCAGTCCCGGGGGGAGGATTCCGCTTTGCTCCTGGAGGGTCTGCATACATTTCCCTTTGTGAGGGGAGAAAAACAATTGCTGAGCTGATACCATCAGTTAATTTCCTCCAGCAGAAGGAGAGAAGGATCCTTCACCAGCAGAGAGCTGACAAATCACTGCGCCCCAGCTCCCTTCACAGAGCGCCCCCCTCCCTGGGCTTGGGCAGCACCCTGAAGAGGCAAGAGATTCAGGGCCGAATGGGCCTCTCCTGCTCCCCTGGACGCTGACACCTGCCGCTGTGTTGCTGTGGGACGGCCACCTAGCTCTTTGCACATTATGCGGAGGCTCGGGGCCACTGTCCCCAGGGTCACCTCTCCTTTCCTAGGCACACAGACACCTGGCTCTCTAAGCTCCTCTGATGCCATGGCTCTCAGCTACCACTCCCCAACAGTCTGTCTCCCGAGGCTGCAGAAGTTCCTTCTCTCCCAGAGACAACTCCAGGACTGAAGGCCAACGAGACACCTAGTGTTGGAGAAGCCAGTGGAGGGCTTGGGGCTAGCTAGTCACCCCCACCCTGAGTCCATGTCTCAGGCCACGCTGGAGAAGGGCCTAGGCAATGCCTTGGTTTCTGCGCCTAGAGTCAGTCCTGGCACGTTGGTGAGGGAAAGGCTGCTGGGGCAAGGCAGGTCCAGCAGCATGTCACACACACACAGGACCAGCGCTGCTCGGGGTTGTAAGACACTCTCAATGGCCTGCATACCACCCTCCCTGGAGGCAGGCAGGCTACACACTGGTCCGGCTGGCTCACTGCTCCATGCCAACTTCCCTGGATCATATGTCAGAAGAGCACGGGACCATGGGCAAAGCGTCCACGGACTGAGACTGCCACCTTAAAAATTCCTTTTAAACAAAGCAGACGGTCCCTGGCGTGGGCAGGGGACGGGGAGCGTTGCCTCCAACGAGCTGCAGTCCATTTGGCCGCCTGGCTGTGCTCCCCTGAGGCCTGAGCTTCAGAAGTTTCCCCTTGGCCTCCATCTTGGCACTGTCTGGTGGGCCGCCAGCCCATACATCTTGTGGCCGCTCGATAGAACCGCCAGAGTCTGACACATCCATCAGCCAGCCCTGGCGGCAGGGTTCTGCCTGTGTGTGCAGAGGCACTGAGAGGGACTGGGCAGTGCCTGGCCTGAGGGCCACCAGCTGCACCTCCACAACCTGGCCATCCTGTATAGAAACAGACCCAGTTGTGTAAAAGGAAGAGGCTTCTATTTCACTCTGGAGATGCTGGGGGTGTGGGGGGTGGTGGTGGCTAGTAGTCATGTCAGGGTCATCAGAGTGATAGCACCATCCTGGAGTCCCAGAGGGGTGGGCTCGGGGTGAGTCTGCTGCCGGTGCTGGCTCATTTATCATGATGCTCTTCTTTGCTGAGGTCATTCCCTCCCTCCACTGCACCCCTCAGGCCTGCCCACATTCTTGATAACCTGTTACCATGGTGAGGCCACCACATCACCATTCTTATTGTTCCCCCATGCCTGGATTTGGGGGTGGGGAGAGATGGGACTCAGAGCAGGCTGCAAGGGCCACTAGGCCTGGCCTCAAACCCCCCCCCCCCCCCCCCCCAGGGACATCTTGCTAGGCTTGCTGAGGCCCAGACAATATGCAAATGGCCTCCAAGCCAGATGGTCGGCTTCCAAAGGCACCCAGGGGAGGAGGAAGGGTTAGGCAGAGTCAGGGGCTGGTGGCTTGAGGATGGCTCTGGGGAATCTCACTTTTACCTTCCTGCTGAGTCCTGCTGCCTTCCCACTTCTACAGAGGGCGTTTTCCCTGCTGGGATCCCATGCAATCATTCTCAAGATAAATATTTACTGAGCAACTAGTAGTGCCAGGTGCTAGGGAGATGGCGGTGAGCAAGACAGACACGGCCTACCCTCATGGAGCCGACAGGCCAGCAGGGAGGCCAGCCATTACTTATTTAATGAGTTATGATAAATGCTCCTTTGTGTAGGGTTGGGAAAAACTTTTCTGAGGATGTTAACATTGAAGCTGAGGCCTGGAGAATGACTAGGGTAGGATGGGGGAGCAGAAGGAAGAACATATGGGAAGACCTGAGGCAGGAGGGAATTGGCAGGTTCAAGATAACAGAACAGAGAAGGCAAGAAGGTTGGCATGAGCAGTTTTAGGGGCCAGATCTGGAAGAGACTTCACTCTCCCTGTGAAGCCCAGGGCTATTCACCAAATCTGTGCTCTGAGGGCACAGAACCCACACTGCCTGGAACTGTGCTCTGTGCTTCTCTGCCTTGACACACGTATCAAGATTCCGCTCAAAGTACAGTCACCAGTACTAGAGTGTTCTGAGGACCCAGCACTGGCCATAGCACACAGCACAGAAGCTTACACACAGCCCTGGACTCCATCACTTCCTAGTTGTGTGACCTTGGGTAAAGATTTCATGAGCCTCAGCTTCCTTCTTTGCAAAAATGGGAATGTAAGAGTCTCATAGGGCTGTTGTGAGGATCGAATGAGATGATTCATATAAAGCTCTTGGCCCTGTGCCTGGCATATCAATGCTGTAATTCTTCTACGATTCAGAAGAACCAGTACCTTTTGCCCTCTCTTGATGCCCTGGGCTTCCATACTCTGCCCGGGGGTCTAGGATCCTGGGGATATGTTCAGACCACTTTGGAGAGTGGAGTACAGTCAGCCAACCATTAATCAGACAGTGCTGGGACTAGCTGGGATTTTTTGTGTGGGATTCACTCTCTTTCTTTTTTTCAATCCTCACCCAAGGATATGCTTTTATTGATTTTAGAGAGAGAGGAAGGGAAAGAGAAACATCAGTTGGTTGCCTACCGTACATGCCTCCACTGGTATGTGCAACCTAGGTATGTGCCCTGACCAGGAATCGAACCCACAACCTGTTGGTGTATGGGACAATACTCCAACCAACTAAACCCCTCGCCCCCGTCTGGGAGGATTCACTAACTTGGAGAGTGGTGACGGAGCCCCAGACACTGGCCTTCTCTCTATTTTGGATGTTCAAATCCCAAAGATGCTGCCAGGACAACCCAGCTAGAAGGAACCACATCCCGAGGCCCTGGGTGCTAGAGGCCAGACTGCCCCTAGGCACGCCGCCCCAGAAGGAGAGGAGCACCCAAACACAAGGTTTCCAGTGCAGGAGGCCTGGGACCCGGCCTGCCCATTGGGGAAAAGTCAGTGATAAGCGATGGGGGCTGCTTGCTGCCTGTGGCGGAATGGTTAAGGATTTGGGTTCTGGAGCCGGGACGTGTGTGCCAGATGGCCTTGATAGGAAGTCACTTTACCTCTTTAAGTTTCAATGGCATCCTCTGACAATTTGGGACAATAATCCAACCACCAAAGAGTTGCCGTGAGGATTCAGGCATAAGGCTAGCAGCAGGCCAACACAGCATCACACACACAGGACAAATGTACATTTGCCCAGTGAGTTAGGAGTCTTTATCCTATGGGCTACCAGAACCTCCTAAAAGCTGCTGGCAAGCCCTAACCGGTTTGGCTCAGTGGATACAGCGTCGGCCTGAGGACTGAAAGGTCCCAGGTTCGATTCGGCTAAGGCAGTGGTCGGCAAACTGCAGCTCGCGAGCTACACGCGGCTCTTTGGCCCCTTCAGTGTGGCTCTTCCACAAAATACCAACTTCTGCGCATGGGCCACGAAGTTTCAATCGCACTGTACGTGCGCGCCCACACGTGGTATTTTGTGGAAGAGCCACACTGAAGGGGCTAAAGAGCCACATGTAGCTTGCGAGCCGCGGTTTGCCGACCACGGGGCTAAGGGCATGTACCTTGGTTGCGGGCACATCCCCAGTAGGAGGTGTGCAAGAGGCAGCTGATCGATGTTTCTCTCTCATCGATGTTTCTAACTTTCCATCCCTCTCCCTTCCTCTCCGTGAAAAATCAATACTGTATATTTTTTTCTTTTAAAAAAAGCTGCTGGCAATAGGGCACCATGATGCCCCTTAGAGAGCGTCTAAAAAGGCTCCCACCAGAATCCCTCACCCTGGTGGACTTGTCCTTGCCTGGGAACACTGGCCACCCACTGTGACACGCCCCCCCCCCCCCACGACACACCCCATAGTGTCAAGCCTAGATTCTCAGACTGAAAGAGAACAACCTCAAGGTCTTATCAGATATTGAATCCTGGCTGCAACAGACCCTCATCCAGCCTCTCTCTGACGCTTCAGGGAGAGTTTTCCCCCAACCAGAAATCTATCTTCCTGTCACTCCACTGAGCCTGGCTGGTCCCCGGGGACCATGCCAGCAAATGTGTCCCCTCATCCCCATGCCTGCCTTGCAGATTTGGGAGAGATGGATCCTGGCTCCCCCGAGTCTTCTCTTCCATAGGTTAAACCACTCCTGTCCCCACCAAGTCTACTAGGCTCCAAGCAAGGCTCTTCTGGGAGCCCACCCCAGGCCTTAGTTGAAAAGGGCAAAGAATGAGCTGAGATGGGGGGAATAAAAGAGAAGAGAGGGTAGAGAGAACATCAGAGGGTCCATTTACAAGTGAATGGGGGTAAGAAAGGAGCAGTTTGTGGGCTAAACTGGCCTCAGAAGGAGGTTTACAGATGTGCAAAGGGACGCTCCTCATTGTTTAATTAAGCAGAAAGTGGATCTTTTCAAAAGCAATTTTGCACAGGGACTGGGGTGGGGGTGGGGGGTTGTAGGGGAGAGGATGGCAGTGGGGAGGGGATCTGCAAACAGGCCGAGAGTAAAGAAAAGAACAGCTGGCCCCAGAGAGGCTGTGAAATGCATAATAAGCAGTTTAAAGCACACGGGAGCTCTCTCCAGCTCCTACCCTCCCTAGTCAGCCACCCTTTAACACAATGGCAGGACAGAGGAAGAGGGGCAGGGAAAGGTGAGGCCAACACGTCTCCTCCTGGGGGTCAGGGCAGGTAATGCCCCTGGTGGGGCAGTCTGTCTACCGATGTTTTGGGTTTGCTCCAGGCCACTGACCACCATGCATAGGTTGGAAGCCTTGAGTTAAAGGGATCAAAAAGCCAGCCCCCAGCAGCCACAATGCCCAAAGCTGGTGGGTGCCCAGATGACCTGTTTCATGGAAATGGCTATTAAGATGTCCCCCTACAACATGGTGGAGAACCTTTTTTTTTTTTGCCAAAGGCCATTTGTATATTTACATTATTTGTGGGCCATACAAATTTATCAACTTAAAAATTAGCCTATGCCCTAACCGGTTTGGCTCAGTGGATAGAGCGTTGGCCTGCAGACTGAAGGGTCCCAGGTTCGATTCCGGTCAAGGGCATGTACCTTGGTTGCGGGCACATCCCCAATATGGGATGTGCAGGAGGCAGCTGATCGATGTTTCTCTCTCATCGATGTTTCTCTCTATCCCTCTCCCTTCCTCTCTGTAAAAAATTAATAAAATATATTTTAAAAAAATAAAATAAAATAAAAAAATCAAAAAAAATAAAATAAAATAAAATAAAAAAAAAATTAGCCTACTATATTTGGTCAAACATTTAATTAACTCACTCCAATGCCGTGGCAGGGCCAGACTAAGTGATTTCCTGGACCTTATATGGCCCACAGGCCAGATGTTCCCCATCCCTGCTTCCCAGAATTGTATACTTGCTTTGAAAGCAATGTTTCCAAAAATGTAGATGTCAAATAGATAACCAAATCAGTGAAGATGAAACCTAGCCCAACCTCCCATTGTACAGATGGGAGAACAGGCTCACAGAAAGAAGTGACTCGCTATTGTGCAAAGCCAGGCTCCTTGCTTGCAGTTTCACCCACTTAGGCTTTGCCCATCCTCTTCTCCCAAATTGGCCGGGTTGGAAGCTGTCCCCTGGCCCAAGACCCAGGGCCCTGCAGTTTCCTTGTTTGTGAGACTTGTCACAACCCATAAACTTATGGCTGCTATTTTCTCTGCTGGAGTCTCCAGGACCTACTTGGCCAAGTGGCAGTCCCTGGGCTGGGAAGGCTGCCAGACAACAGATCTGGGCACGGGCCGGGGAGAAGAGTAAGACTCTCCCAGTGGCAACTGTTGGGCTCCCATGTGCCAGGGTAAGGCCTGGCAGCTGCCAACCAGCTCTGCGGCTGCGATGTGACCCAAGCCTCTGGGCACAGCAGGGCAAAAATGGGAACCAGAAGCAGAGTAACAGCCAAGGGCCCAAGACTGAGCAAAGGGACCATTTCCGCTTCCTTCTCGTCTCCTTTTCTTTCATTCCAGAGAGGGGAGGCTAGGCCCCACCTGCCCTGTAAGCAGCAAATGGAGGAGGAGGGATCGCAAACCTGGTTAGCCCACCTTCCTGAGTAACTCTGGACAGTCTCCTTTCTCTTGGTTTGGTTTCCTTGATGATAGATAATATTTGCTGGAGTCATTATGAGAATCAAAATAAGTAGCTGTTGAAAGCATGAATATAAATGAAAGTGTAAAAACTGGAAAGTACACTGCAGGTGTGAGATGTTATGTGACTCAGGAAGCCTCTTAGGGTAAATGATGATGGGTTAGAGCAGCCGTGGGCAAACTACGGCCCATGGGCTGGATCCGGCCCATTTGAAATGAATAAAACTAAAAAAAAAAAAAAAAAGACCGTACCCTTTTATGTAATGATATTTACTTTGAATTTATATTAGTTCACACAAACACTCCATCCATGCTTTTGTTCCGGCCCTCCGGTCCAGTTTAAGAACCCATTGTGGCCCTTGAGTCAGAAAGTTTGCCCACCCCTGGGTTAGACCCTGAAATCCGGTTCTGAATTCCAGCTCTGCCATGTAAACAACTGTATGACTGGAGTAAGACACATGACACGCGAGTTTGGGTGGCCACTTTTAAAAATGGAATGACATGCCCTGACCGGTTTGGCTCAGCGGATAGAGCATCGGCCTGTGGACTGAAAGGTCCCAGGTTCGATTCTGGTCAAGGGCATGTACCTTGGTTGCGGGCACATCCCCAGTAGGAGGTGTGCAGGAGGCAGCTGATCAATGTTTCTCTCTCATCGATGTTTCTAACTCTCTATCCCTCTCCCTTCCTCTCTGTAAAAAATCAATAAAATATATATTTAAAAATAAATAAATAAATAAAAATAAAATAAAATAAAAATGGAATGATAGCTACCGCCTAGGAATCTGTGACAATTATCTGCACAACCAATTGGGGCTTTGCCAACCACGCCAAACTCAGCACGTGCCTCTCATGACACTGGACTTCTTTCAGTGCCTTGACATTCTGAGGCCTTTCACCAGGGGGTCTTTCCAAGGGCTACCTGCTTTGCTTGAAGCAGGCCCCACACCCTCTGCTGTCCCTCCCATTTACCGGGCTGACTTAGCCTCCAGGTCACCTCTTCAAAGAGGCCTTCCCTGACCACCTGTTGTCTAATTGAAAGCACCCCTTTGCTCTCATGCCCGTGACAACCACTTGTACAGTTATACATGTATGTATCTACTTATCTATTGCCTGGCACCACTTCCGTAAGCTCCATTATTAGGGCAAGAACCATATCTGGCCATAACCGGTTTGGCTCAGCGGATAGAGCGTCGGCCTGTGGACTGAAAGGTCCCAGGTTCGATTCCGGTCAAGGGCATGTACCTTGGTTGCGGGCACATCTCCAGTAGGGGGTGTGCAGGGAGGCAGCTGATCGATGTTTCTCTCTCATCGATGTTTCTAACTCTCTATCCCTCTCCCTTCCTCTCTGTAAAAAATCAATAAAATATATTTAAAAAAAAAAAAAAGAACCATATCTGTTTCACTAGCACCGAATACCCAGTAACTAGTACTATGCCTGGCAAAAAGGAGGCGCTCAAATTAATATATTCCAACTACAGGAAAGAATAAAGTACTAATTGGAATGAACTGCATATAATTTAGAAAAAAAAAGCTAAGTTAAACATAACTACTGTAATAATGAGAAGAAAAAAAAAAGAATAAAGTACTAGTATTCAGTGAGCATTTGGCCAATGAATGAATAAAAGGGTTGGGATTATTAAACGTGGGGACATTCGTGCCATGCAAATGCAAGGGAAAATCAATCCTAATTTGTGGTATTTTAATCACTGCCCAGCCAGGTCTTTAAGGCTTCTTCTGAGAGCCTCTTGTTCCCTCCCAAAGTCGCATGGCCATCAGTCAAACTAAGAAACAGTCACCTGCATCCCCCTGGCTCTTTCCCTCCCGAGGACACACACAATCCCACAACCCTGACATTTAACCCCAGCCTCATACCCACCACCAGCTGAAAGGGGGCAGTGCCCTGGTCCTTGGTGAGTGTCCCCCAACCTCTGAATGTGGCACGTAGACCTACCTTGTGCCACTGCTCTCAGACCCGGAGGAGGAGCAGAGATAACCTTGGCAGCCAGTGAATTTGGGGAATAATTGTTTGATTCCTGGCAGATGAGTGTCCAGTTCCAGAAGAACCCTGTCAAACCGCCCTGACCTTTTCTTCTGCCTGCCTCCAGGAACCCCATTCCCCTGCCTCCTAACGACTGATTCCTCTTCTCCCCTGAAGCGTCTGGGCCCTAGGGAAAATGGCTCTCAGTCCTGAGGGTCCTGAGCATTCTTCTCTGACGAGGACCCACTGCTAGGACTGTGGTGCCTCTCCACAGTGATGCCACCCCTGCCTCTAGGCTACACTGATATTTACCCAGCTGGACCTCTTCAACCCCATTAGGGCAAGAACCGTATCTGTTTCACTAGCACCGAATACCCAGTAACTAGTTCTATGCCTGGCACAAAGGAGGCCCTAAAGTGGGCTTCCCACTCCCTGCCCCTCCAGAGTTTGAAGGCAGGAACTGGCTCTCATTCATGGCTGTCTCCCCAGTGCCTGGTACATGGTCTGCCACACAGGAAGTGCTCAGTATATGTTTGTTAAAGAAAGATGAACCGGTATTTAAATGGACAAATGAAAAAAGCCCATTGTCTCCCTCAGTCATCCTCCCTCCTCCAGCCTCCTTTCTGGCTGGGTATCTTCTTCTCATCTGAATCCTCTTACCACAATGTGAGCCCATGTGCCTTTTCCCATCCGCGGTGAGGATTACCCACCTTCGTGAGAGCATCTCTCTGCTGCCATATAATAATAATAAAGATGCTCCCTTAGCCCTGGCCAAGTAGCTCGGCTGGTTAAAGCATTATCCTGATACACCAAGACTGTGGGCTTAATTCCCGGTCCGGCACATACCAGAAGCAACAAATGAATGCATAAATAAGTGGAACAACAAACTGATGTTTCTCCCTTCCTTCCTTTCTCTCTAAAATCAATAAAGGAAAATATTTTAAAAATTAAATTAATAGAGACGCTCCCTTTAGCAACCCTGAGAGCTGGAGCTTACCATGCCTACTTCACAGATAAGCACACTAAATCTAGGAGAGGCGAGGGCACTGGCCTAAGGGCCTAAGGGGATGCACACTTAACCCACATTCAGAACCCACGCCACCACCCTCCTGCAAAGCTGGCTGGTCTGAGAGAGGATGGCGATCTCTCTTCCTCCTTCCCTCTGGCCAGGAAATCTGACCTATTCCCACTTGAACGGGGTTGAATGACCCTGTAGACTCCTGCCCAGCGTACCCAGAGAGGGGCTCAGACGCCCATACTCACAGGGCTCCTCCTGTCCAGGCAAGGTGACCTGATGTTTTTTCACACCGTCGAACAGGAGCTCCGCGCCACCTCTGCAAAGGAAGGCAGAGAAAGACAGCCAGGTCAGTCCTGCACACACCTCGCTGAGAATGAAAACTGCAGAGGGGGCTGGCACCAGAGCACACGAGATGCCGAGACCCAAGGTTCAGGAACACCTTGGGTGCCAGTGACTGACTCCTGATGTGGTCAAGTGGGAGAAATCATTTTCACCAATAACCAAGCATTCAATCTGCAGACCCTTGTTTTCACTCCTCTGCTTTCTCGAGAGGCAGCTTAGCACACAGGTAAAGGTTGGGTGCTTTCCGCCTCGAGATGGAGACCAGCCTCCACCCCTGCCTGACACCGGGGCCCCAGGCATGTGACTCCGTGTTCTCAAGCCTTAGCCTTTCCATCTACAAAAATGTTGAGAAGCCACCATGAGTCACACTGCAGACCCTGTATGTGTTGAGGGGTTTCCTCTGGCCAGGTGAGGGTTTGAAATGTCCCTGCTGTGCCAACCACTGCTGGCCTGGTGGCACACCACAGTGCCGGAGGGTAAGAGATTTCACCAGGCTTAGCAATTTACAAGCCCATTCTTCATCTCATTTCATCCTCAGGGCATCCCAGGGAAGGAAGAAGGGAGGCAGACGTTATTAACGCTATCCAATGGAGAAGCAGAAGCCTGAAGAAGTTAAGTGACCTGTCTAAAGTCACAGAGGCAGTGGCTGAACTAGGCTTTGAAGTCTAACTGGTTTCTGCTTAGCCCTGGCAGCCTTAGCAGAAAAAAAACACAAGACACCCCTCCCCCCCAAAGGTCAGAAAGCCCCTTGAGGGTAGAATTTGGTTCACTTCTGTGTGCCAACACCAGACAAGGGAAGGCCGGTTCAGCAGAGATGCTCAGAGACAACTCCAGAAGCCTGGGCTTATGATGTGGACACCAGGACTCTTTCGGGGCCCCACACTGCTTCTCCCCCTGGGTCTCCTGATCCCATTGCAGACTTCATGTGGATCTTAACTGAGAAGGCCTTAAAAGGCCTTTGACAAGATGTGAGGCCTCCCACCCTACCACTCTTTCCCAATTTCAGAGAACAGAGATGTCCTGAGACATGCCACTGGGAGGCAAAGGCAAGGCAAGCATTGTCATGGGGGAAACATGGGGCGACTGTCATCCAAACAAGGTTATGCTTTGTTGATGCAGAAATGTGGAGGGGGAGAGGAGGCCCATCTGTGGCCGCGCACAGGGCCATTTCAGCTGCAAGCCTGCACAGAGCCTCCATTTATCCCCTTCCAAGAGCCTCGTTCTCTCCTGGGTGGGGGCTGGCACATGCAGCAGCTGGGGTGGGGGAGGGCCACAGGCAAGGGGCTCAGAAATTGGGGGGTCAGAGAAAAGGGGTGGGAGCTGGAGACATTGGGACCCAGGCAAACAACCAAGAATGGCCAAACCTGGTGGTGCCAGGCTCAGAGGCCGAGTCTGTTTTTCCCTTTGCGAGCAGATGAAGAGAGAGCCAGGGAGTGACCTCGCTCAGAGAGTGACCTGTCACCGCTGGGTTCACTAGCTCACCGAGAGGGGTGTGTGCTGTCAGCACACCTGGAGGGGGTGAGGTGTCTGCCCAGACTCTGGCATGATACAGGGAGGCAGGCCAGGGTCCTGTTTTGGCCCCATTGGAGAACCAAAGCCAGACTCTTTTATGTCGGCATAGTTTGCTCTTCAAGGTCAATTACGGAATTCTATCTTAAGATACCTCATCTTTCTTCCAGTCCCCAATTCTTGGCGGGAGTGTTTCTTGGTACCAGTGACTGGTATAGACATTCCCAAAATTGCCTTCACTTTTTCTAGCTTATCATCTTCTTATCTCTCTCTCTCTCTCTCTCTCACACACACACACATACAAACATACGTATATAAAATATATTTTTTTGATTTCAGAGAGGAAGGGAGAGGGAGAGAGACAGAAACATCAATGAGAATTATTGATCGGCTGCTTCCTGCACCCCCCTACTAGGGATTGAGCCCGCAACCTGGGCATGTGCCCTGACCAGGAATCGAACCATGACCGAACCGTGACCTCTTGGTTCATAGGCTGATGCTCAACTACTGAGCCACACCAGCTGGGCTTATGTTATATTTTTTAATTTTTGTTTATTTCCCCTCTACCGGTTGGAATGCAAGCTCTGCCTAAAACAAGGCCTGACACATAGCAGGCACTCAGTTTGCCACGAGTGAAAATGCCCATTTCTCCCACTTCTCTAACTTCATTCCCTCCCTTTGTCCATACCTCCAGGCTCAGGAAGAAGGAAAAGAGAAGAGGAGGAGGGAATCTCATATCTGCACCACAGGAACAAAACACACCTATACTACAGACTTTGAATCCTGTGTGACCTAAGAAAATGCTGTGCTAAGGGCAGTTCAGGAGGGAAGACAAAGGAGGGCAGAACTGATAAGAGTGAGAAAGGTCTGAGTGGTCCTCTGGGAGGGGCTGGGAGGACATCTGCTCAAGGGGGAGAGGCCAAGTCCTCACCCAGACTCTTCAAGGACCACAGTGGCCGCTTCTATGCAAATCTGCTAAGGTTCAGAGTGAAGGGTGAAGGGAGTCTGCTAAGAAACGTAGGAAATTAACGGAAGGCCAGGGACAAAACCAGGCACTGAGAAAAGAACAAAGAGAGAAGGTATCTGGGTTTGGTACACATCTTGGGCATTCCTGCTTTCCTGAGGAGCTGTGATTCTCATGGGACACTGTGGTGGATGGAGGTGTTAGGAGGTGGGTAAATGGGTGCAGGAATGCTGTCCTGCCCTGTTGGGGCTCACTGTTGCTCTTGGGGATAAGGGAGGCTGAGGCTAGACAGTCTGGCCAGAAAAGGGGTAATTAAGCTGGTCTATAAGCTCTGGAGGCAAGGAGCATATCTTCTTCACAGGAATTCCCTACTGCTGACAGACAGAAGACATTTTTGATCAACAAATACCATGTCTGACTCAGTGGGACTGAAAGGTGAGGCTGGCTGTAGATAAACCTTAACATCGGTAGTCGGCAGCTTCCCCATTTTCAGCTCTGCTAAGGCCTGTCAAAGCAGCAGGGATCTCCTGGAACCTCTACGCTATGGGGGCCATGGCTGGGCCAAGGGTCAGTGAAGCAAAACAGTCAGGAGTCCAAACCAGTATGGTTCTAACTGGATCCAAGGAGCTAGACAATATCATCAATTAAAACGCATTTAACATTCATGAGGCTACCTCCCCCTAAGGGACAGAAATGCTGAACACTGGAGAACATGCACAGAGTTCCATTTATCTTTGTATCCTCCGTGTCTGGCTCACTGCCTGGCACATGGTAGGCACTCAATAAATGACTAGTGAATAAACTACCCAATGAAGGGAAAGCATGAAAGAAACTGGGGGCATCCAATATAAGAAAAGGCATTTAGGGACAGAGGTTTTATATCCCCATTTCAGACTTTTCCTTTCACATAAGCCTTGGCTTGTTTCCCTTCCCAACACCCCCCCCCCCCAACACCCCTCCTCCCTCCGCACACACACACACTCTCAAGCTTCCATATGACTGGAAATTACACCACCCACCTCTTAGGCCCTAAGACTTAGGGTGTCAGTTCCTTTGCCTTCTAAGCTCAGCAGTTTCTCTCAGCTCTGAAATCATATACAGAGGACAGAAAGCAGTGGTTTGAGGAGACACCCTCCCTGATCAGTGTTTCTTCAGCTACTGTTATGCATATTCCGATTACTGTACTTTTCATCTGTGCACACTGTACTGTCAGGGTTAGTCTTCCCCACTGCACTACCTTATCCCTCTATCTCCACCTGCCTGCAGACAGGCTCAGTCAATGTACTGAACGTCCTAAAAGGGGCTCCGGTATGTTTAACCTGAGAAAGAGAAGGAGTCTCGTCTTGGCCACACATCCCACGAGAATCAAGGCTTCAAGAACCCTGAAGTGGACTTGCTGCCAGGAAAAAAGCATGCGGGAGTGTACGGTAGTCCTTCTGCGCTCTAGATCAGGTGCCAGACACATGGGCTTGGTCCAAAACGGGATCGGCAAAGAAGGCGGGGAGCCCGCCTGCCAACCATCACGCCTTTTGAGTCCGTCAGGGTAGAGGGTACTGAAGAGTGTCCGGAGCGCACCTCCCCGCCCGGCCGTGCGCCTCTATTCCCGGACTTACGGCCTCGTCGCCAAAGGAGACCGAGCCTTTCAGACCCTCCGAGGCGGATGGCGTAGCTCAAAGAACGCGCCAGAAACCTCGGAAATTCGGTCATGACAGGCCCCAAAGCAGAGGGAGAGGAGTTCTGGGCCTGAAGACTTCAATCCATCCCCACGGCGCCCCCAACTCTGTGACTCACCCGAACTCCACCTCCACTGATAAGGGCGCTGCCATGTTGAGGAAGCCGAGGTCGCAGGAAACTCCCTTCAACTTCCGGCGCTCCCGCCCCACTTCCGGTCTCCGCAGACGGAAGAGGCGGTGCCCAGGGAGCCGTTGTCCTCAGCTATTGGACAAAGGCCCGGAGTGGGCGGGGAAGGTCACGGGGGCCGGGGCAGGGGGTGGTCCTTTGAGTTGGTCCCTCACTGTCTTTTAGGGAAGGAGCTCAGACCCCAAGGTGGACAGCGCCCTGTAAGCCACACCCAGGCGGAGGAGAGCCCGCCGCTTCTTGGCGCAGCGACTGTGAGCCACGTTACTGTTTATCTTGGGATTAGTTACAAATATCTTGTCCGCACACCGCTTGTGCGAGCCCGTCCACCCTTCTGAATAAGTGACCCCTCCAGTCTTTATTTACAGCCCAGAAATCTCCCTCCTGAGCTCTCCGCTCGCCATCCAACCACCCCCTTCGCTGTCGAGTTGGATTTAACCCATTCTACAGATATTTACTGCACGTCCTCTGTGGACCAGGCATCTTGGTGGGTGCTGTGGGCGCGGTGGTGAACCGGCTGGACAAGATGCCACAGTTGAGTGGGGGAAACTAACGCTGATCATATAAACACATCAGCCTTCCTAGTAAATGTAAAACCTCAAAGAAGTGACTCAGAGTTTGAGCTGAGCTTTAAAGCCTGGGGAGAATTATCGAGGTGGATGTCAGGGGAGAGAAAGCTCCGGGAACATTCCAGTGTGGAGATCAGAAGGTGCAAAGGCTGTGGGTGGGAGAGCATGCTGGATCAACAGGACAGGAAGGTGCAAATTGGGGAACAGAGAACCTGATAAGAGATGGGGCTAGAAAAGTGGGCAGGGACCAAATCATGCCTTGTCAGCCAGGTAGGAATTTCAGTCTCTATTCTAAGAACAATGGGCGGCCTTTGAAGAGTTTTAAGAGGGGGCGACATTATTAGAACTGTTTCAAAATATCCTTTCTGGCTGCAGTGTGGAGAGTGGTTTGGAGAGGAACAAGGAAGAAGATAGGAGACCACTGGAGCCTGTTACAACAGCTCCGGGCACAAATGGAGTGAAGGGGATGTCTACTCAGCATTGGTAGAGTAGGGTGGCGTAGTCTGCTGGTTAAGGGCAGAATGATGTAATGGTTAAAAGGTTGAGTTCAACTACCATCTTACTATCTAGGTCCCACCACTTCCTAGCTGTATCTTTGGGCAAGTCCCTACACATCTTTGTGCCTCAGTTTCCTAGTCTGTAAAATGGAGATAATAAGAGCCCCTTCTTCATAGGGCTTTAGTGAGGACTAAACGAGTTTTTGGCACAGTGCCTCTTTCCCTAAAAAGGCTCTCACTTGTGTTCCCCATCTCAGGTATACCACTGCGACCCACTGCAACACTCAAACAAGAAACCTTGGACATTGTTCTTAATCCGCTCCTACACCCAGTCACCAAATCTGGACAAATGAGACATAGCCCTGGTTCTCAAACAGTGCAAAGGAATCCTGTGGTAAACGGAGAGGCCCCACATTCATCATGCTAGATAGGTCACTTCTCCTCTCTGGAACTCAGTTTCCCTAATCTGTAAAAAATGTTTAGGGCCAAAGGATCTTAAGGTCCCTTCAACAAACATATTCTTCTAAGATTATTTCACTGGATCCAGCTGCCCCAGGGTACAAACCTTGCCTGATTTATCTTTGATCCCTACCTCATGGTATTGATACTGCACATTGTTGGGGTCTGGTAAGTGCTTGCTGAATGAATAAATGAATGAATGAACACATATCACTCCCCTGCTCAAAATCATTTAATGGGCTTCTCTTTACTAACAAGACAAGGGCCTTCCCAGAAATCATTCAAGAGCCCTCTGATCCCAGCCTACCTCTGACTTGAATATCCTCTGACCCTGGGAACTCCCACCTCCTGCACCGGAGAGCTGAGGAGCATTTGAAGAGCTTCATCCATTTCACAAATATTCACTGAGCACCTATTAAGTGCCAGGCCCAGTGCTGGTGCTGGGAATACAATGGTGAACAAAACCAATGGGGTCCCTGCCTTCAAGGGCTGATGTTCTAGGACAGCGGTTGCCAATCAGTGGTCCGCAGACTACTCATGGTTCGTGAGGTCTGAAAGGTTGGCAACCACTGTTCTAGGAGACACGGATGGAAAAACGTATAAAACGGCCCTGGCTGGTTGCTCAATGGTTAGAGCACCGGCCCAGGGACCAAAGGGTCAAGGGCATGTACTTCAGTTACAGGTTCCCCAGCCCCCATATGGACATGTGCAGGATGCAACCAATTGATTTGTCACTCTCACTTCGATGTTTCTCTTTCTCCCACTCCTCCCTCCCTTCCACTCTATCTAGATTCAAAATCAATGGAAAAAATATCCTCAGGTGAGGATTTAAAAAAAAAAAATCAGACTCAGTGGTTGAGCATCAACCTATGAATCAGGAGGTCACGGTTCGATTCCGGTCATTGGGGAACATGCCTGGGTTGCAGGCTCGATTCCCAGTGGGGGACATACAGGAGGCAGTTGATCAATGATTCTCATCATTGATGTTTCTATTTCTCTCTCCTTTCCCTTCCTCTCTGAAGTCAATAAAAATATATTTTTAAAAACCAGAAATGGACCACACAGTGCAATCAGTGTTATGAAGGGGAAACACGAGGTAGGGGGGACACTGTAGGAGCAGGAGGAGGCCCCTAATCCAGCCCTGGAGGTCACTTCTAAACCCAAATCCAAAGGAGTTGTGGGAGGTGGGGTTGGGGGTGGGGAGGGAGAAGGTGCATGGGAAAGCCAGAGGCATTCCCTCCCTCCTGGAGGAGTGGGAATCCTTCCCCCCGCAGGAGGCAGGGGTCCACCAGTTTCTCCTCGCAGAGAGACTGGGAGCCACCTTCTGGGTAAAGCAGCCATTCTGTGAACGCCTGGGACTCACTCTGCTCCTGAGCCGACTCCACTCCGTGCCCTTTGCACCTGCCAGGGGCATGAATTACCAGGTTGATTACTCACAGGGACTATTACCCCCATTTTCTGGAAAAAAAAAAATGTATTGATTTTAGAGAGAGGAAGGAGGAAATAAACGTTGATTTGTTGTTCCACTTACTGATGCCTTCGTTAGTTTGATTCCTGCATGTGCCCTGATGGGAGATCAAACCCAAACCCCTGGCGTGTCCGGACGATGCCCTAACTGGCCAGGGCAATCCCCCTTTTTCAAATGAGAAAAGCTGAGGCTCAGAACCAGTGGCTTGCCCCTGGGACCCCTAAATGTCAGGCCTCACCCCAGGCTGCTGTGCTTCAGGATCCCTGCCCCTCCTCCCTGAACCTCTCTCTGGTTGGGCCCAGCTCCCCCAGGGCCCCATCCCCAGTCCTCTCCAGCAAGCCGGCCAGCCCGGGCGTCGGCCTCCATCCCTTCAGAAGCTGCTAGGGAGACAATGGCGGGGTCTGCGGGAGAGGCGAGGGCGCGGGTGCCCCCCTGCCCGCTGCCCTTTGTCTTCCCGCCTGCTCCCCTCGTGCGACCGGGGAGGCTGGGAGGCGCCTTTCGCCGGCTTCCTCCTCCCATTCTTGTGCTAATTGGGTGTCAAGCTGAGATCAGTGAGAAAGAAATCCACCCGGGCTCGGGTTAAACTGCCGCCAAAGCCCAGGGCTGAGCCCAGAATATCATTAGTCGGGGAGGAAGCAGGGCCCCTCCTCGGGGTGAGGGCCAGCCGCTCATTCAGATCCCTTTGAAAGTCACTCGGTCGCCCCCTCCTTTGCCGCCGCTTCAATGGGCCCCTCCGAGGTATTTAACCTTCTTCCCAGGAATTGAAAGTGAGAGGCCACGCACTGGCTTGGGCGGCCACTTGCCTGTCCCGAGGGCGGTAGGACCTCCGGGGTCGCTGGAGGCAGGCCTCCCGGGCGCAGGCTGCAGATGGGGACACTGAGGCTCCCAGAATGGGGCCTTGCCTCCCGGCGCCACCCTTCACAGGCTCCGTAGTTAATGGAGAGACTTGGACTCTCTGAGCATCAAAATAGCAGCTGCATTGTAATGGGTTTAATGAAGTAAGGCGCAGGAAGCACTTTGCACAATTCCTGGCACACAGGGAGAGTTCCCCATGCGGTGGCTATCAGCCTAAGGAAGGGGTTTGACTGCTACTAGCACCTCCTGCGGGCTCCCAGGTGCTGGAGGTGTGCCATTACTAGTGCCCACAAGGCACACATTTTCAGATCTTGCCTCAACTTTACCCCCTTCATCCCCCGTAGCCAAACTGCACTTCACTCCAGGCCTTTACATTTTGCTGCTCCTTCTGTTCAGAACACACTTCCCCTCTGATTCTTGGAGCTCTTTTTTTTTTTTTTTTTTTTTAAATATATTTTATTGATTTTTTACAGAGAGGAAGGGAGAGGGATAGAGAGTTAGAAACATGGATGAGAGAGAAACATCGATCAGCTGCCTCCTGCACACTCCCTACTGGAGATGTGCCCGCAACCAAGGTACATGCCCTTGACCGGAATCGAACCTGGGACCTTTCAGTCCACAGACCGACGCTCTATCCACTGAGCCAAACCGGTTACGGCATGGAGCTCTTTTTTGAAAAGTCTCCCTGACCTGGAAACACGCCCCCACCTACCCCACCCCGCCCCCCCACTCTTGTGCTGTCAGGAAGCCAGATTAGGTCAGCTAAGCACATACCCTTTGCTGCTTTACTGCCAGTCTCCTCTGCCTTGCCTGGGCCTGGGTCTCTATCTTGCTCACCCTGGGCTCCCTCACCCCCACCCCACCCTCTGCACAAACTCCTTTAGAATCTGCTCCATAGATGAAATTACTTGGTGCTCTGTAAACTGTGAAGCACTATATAAATGTCAGGAAATGCCCAATAGACACTATCATTAACTTCACAAGCACATACTGTGTGCACAGAGACATCTCACACAGCCATGTGTGCATGAGGCTGCAAGGCCCAGAGGCCCACCAGTCCCACCCCTTCATGGAGGGGCTGATATGGAAGTGGGAAATTTAGGCCTAGTCTGGGGTCTTAACACCTGATCATACACTAAGTGGCCAGATTATTATGACCACCTGACGTTTGTAGGCAAATTAGCTATAATTTCGCGCTGAAATTGCTAGAGGGCCAGATC